ACTGTTTGCGCAATCGACCCACCCACACACTCGCAATTTGTTTTGCAAAACTCACGTAGTGGCGATTACCCTGATTGTCCAGGGCTGATTAGCAAATCGTTGAGGCCGCGCTAATGCGAGCAGGCTCGCGCGCACAGCGGCCAGCTACTCTGGCGCGACCGACGCGGCCGCGGTGGCGCTGACCGCTGGGCAAGTCCAGGCGCGTCCCGCAAGCCGCGCTGAGGGGCGGGCACTCCAGTGTGAGGCGGTGATTCGGGCGGGCGCGGTATCATGGCGACGTCGACAACGGCTGACACGATGGTGGTGATAACGATGATGGTGACGATGATGATGGCAATGAACACAGCAAGGCCAATGACGGCGCTGGTACTGATCACGCCGATGACGACGACGATGTCCACGCATCCATGATGAAAATTGTTGAACACTTCCGAGATGCGCGCGCAGCCAACGCGCGCGACTGGCCCGCATGGAATTATTTGACAGAGGCCGTGCTCCCACCCGCGACTCGCGCAAGGGCGTTCGAATGATTCCGAAACGCGCTTGCGAAAAGGCCCGTTTAGTCGCATTCTGGCGACTACGATCGGGACAAAGAAAACGGTTTCCTTAAGCATTCGCAAGAGCGCACGCGCAAACGTTTTTCGAAACTCCTGCTGCAAAACAGATGGTGCGAGACCTGTTTCCGGGGCACCCGATTGTGAAATCCGCAAGAGACCAAAAAGTTGCTCAGGGATTCCGGCATGCGCGCGCGACGACGCGCACGTGGATTCTGTCAAATTTGATGATTTGCGATAAACGAATGCGCGCGCATAAAATTAGTTGTCGGGACGAGGGGGGGCACCAAAAATGAACGATGCGGCAAAATCAGATGTACATTGCAGCACGCGCCGACGCACGGATAATCCTGGGGGAGGTCGAGCGAAATTATCGTTTTTGGTGTTGTAAATAAAGTATACTAATATAAATCGCCGACGCACGGATAATCCTGGGGGAGGTCGAGCGAAATTATCGTTTTTGGTGTTGTAAATAAAGTATACTAATATAAATAGTGAAAATAGTGTGTATCTATATATGTATAACAAAAATTATATATATATATATATATAATAATCTATAATATAATAAATAATAATAATAATAATAATAATAATAATAATAATAATAATAATAATAATAATAATAATAATAATAATAATAAAGTAATAATAATAATAATAGTAATAATAATACTAAAAATAATAAGAAAAACAACAAAAAAATGTTGTGTCGTATACGTCGTGTGACCTACGTGGTGCAACCTACGTAGCGCAATGTCTGCCACCGTGCCCCCTGGCACCTCGAGGCCTGGAGAATGCATACGCTTGTTTGGCAGATGCCTAAGATAGCTCTAGTCGGGGGGCCCTCTCCCGACCTACTCGCCGACTGCTGCGTGCACAACCGCCCCTGCTTGCCGAGGCTACCTCCCCTGTGCCCGCTCGTGCACGGTGCACCTCCCGCACGGCAGCTAATGTCTGAACCCCCCTGTCCACGCGTGCCCGCTCGAGGAGGGTGCTCTTCCCGCACGACAGCTAGTGCCTGAACCCCCCTTCCACGCTTGCCCGCTCGAGGATGGTGCACTTCCCGCATGGCAGCTAACGCCTAAACCCCATTCCATGCGATCCCGCTCGACCCGCGTGGCTGAAAGCTCCTGCTTCTGGGCCCCTCATCCCACGCGCACCCCCACGAGGATCGCGCACTCCCCGCTTTCCCAAGCGCTGCCCCCAAGCGCTCCAGGGCCCTCACGCCACAAGCTCTCGTCAACGATCCTGGCGAAGGACCCAACCGTAAGCAGCCTCAAGTATCGCGGGGCAGGTGGAGAGGAGGAGAGGGCAAGGAAACGAACTGCGGCGTCAACTGCGAGATAAGCCGTCGGCTCACGGGGGACTGCGCTGCTTGCGGCGAGCCCCGCGGGCCGCCATGTCGTGCCTTCTTCCTTCCCCCGCTCCTTCGCTTCCACTGCGCAGCGCTGCGTGCCTGCCAGCCTGGCCCGCGGTGGCCCCAGACCCCGGGCCCCGCTGCTTGGCACCCACGACCTTCTCGCGTACGTCTCCCTTCGTTGTCCTTGCGCCCCAGCAACCACGGCTCTAGGCGCAACGCGCACTGTTTGGCACCCACGTCCTTCGCGCGTACGTCTCCCTTCGTTGTCCTTGCGGCCTGGCAACCACGGCTCTAGGCGCAACGCGCACTGCTTGGCACCCACGTCCTTCTCGCGTACGTCTCCCTTCGTTGTCCTTGCGGCCTGGCAACCACGGCTCTAGGCGCAACGCGCACTGCTTGGCACCCACGTCCTTCTCGCGTACTTCTCACTTCGTTGTCCTTGCGGCCTGGCAACCACGGCCCTGGCCAACGCGCACTGCGCAGTTCCCGCGACGCGCACCCGTCGCCCCGAAGGAGCCCCGGCGACGCACGCGGGCCGCCCGCGGCACGGAGCAGAAAAGGACGGGGGGTGACAACGGGCAAG